ACATTTTACCAAGGAACTCTGAATTAGTACCTTTCCCTCTAACTTTCTTCAAATTGAGAGAATCTATGGAGTTCCCTATACTGCACAAGTTTTAATGAAAGAAAATAAGACTTTCTAGTATCAAATACATGTTTTCTTATTTACAAACTGTCGAGTAGGACTCCCTCCACATTCTGTGTGGAGTAGGGTTCGGTATCTGAAAGAGGAGCCGCACAACAAATGAGAGGAAAAGACACGAGATAATTTTGCAATATTGGGGGACCAGGCGGGCAAGTCCCAAAGGACTTCCACCACGGCTCAGGCTGCTCCAATCTTTTATTGATCTGGAGTAGCCCTTAGGGTAAGGAGGTTTCAATGACACACAGATCAGCAGACAATTTCCAGGAATAGACAAAGTGTCTGATTAGCTCATCAATAGATTTCCAGGAGTAGGCAGAGTATCTGATTAACAATAATCAACAAGGATCTACATAAGTATCTAAGGAATTAAGGGAACTAAGGTGGGGATGCTTCAACTATTATTACCTAAATTAACTGGGTGGTGCACAGTTCTGACCTTTGCTAGAACTTCAAAGATTACTAGCTTTTGGGGGGTCTCTGTCTAAACTCAGCTAGTGAAGACAATGAATGGACTCCGGCACAAACATATACACTCTTCTCTCTCTCTTTCTCTCTCTCTCTCTCTCTCTCTCTCTCTCTTTAAAATATATTCTTACTGATTCAGAGAGGAAGGGAGAGGGAGAGAGATAGAAACATCAATGATGAAAGAGAATCATTGATCGGCTGCCTCCTACACACCCCGTACTGGGGATCAGGCCAAAACCTGGGCATGTGGCCTGACCAGGAATCAAACTGTGAGTTCCTGGTTCATAGGTCGATCCTAAACCACTGAGTCACACTGGCCGGGCTCAATTCTTATTTATAAATTCATTCCAAGGACATATACAGCTTGAAAAGCTTTGGAAGCAGTTTCAAAAAAATCTAGCTTTTAAGTAACAAGAAAACAGTTATAGAAGAAACTTTAAATTAAAAGAAAAAACTTGTTTTAATTTATTCAAGAGTGTGAACATCCTCCATGAAAATGTGTGCCTTGACTGTGGATGGCTGCGTGGCCTTATCACACCTTAGGAATTCAAATGCTTTTTACAATGAAAAGAGAGTTTCATCTCATTTCTCTCCCAGGGTAGATGTCTGTCAACAGAAGGTGGACATCAATAAAAGGAGGGGCTTGCACAATCAATCCAGAAAGTCAGCAATCTATGAATAATCCAGAACCCAGTATTTATCTCCTCTGCCACACACCCTCCCTCCCAGCCAGTGAGCAAGATAATTACCCTCAAGTCAAGCTAAGTGCCCCCCAGTCACAGTGGCCCAATGCTGACATACAAAGCATACAAATAATTCTCTCTGGCATAAAAGTGACAACTTTCTTGGAAGAAAAGCAGATACTGTAAATTTCTCAGTCTTCCTGAAACACTTTTTAAAGTAATTTTTACTTCTTTAGAAAAATGCATACATGGCAAACCATCTGTAATAAAAGGCCCATTCTATAAAATTTTACCTGGTCCTACTCATATCTGCAATCATAACCATATTTACAGACAAATATATCTATACTAATAAAAGAATAATATGCTAGTTAGACTGGGAGACCGTCCAGGAGACCTTCCAGATGTTCTTCTGGACAAAGCCATGGTGGCAGGCCAAGGTAGAGGCGGTTAGAGGCCAAGAGGGGAGGCAGTTGTGGGTGATCAAGCTGGTGGGGGGTGGGGCCATTGGGGGTAAGCAGACCAGCAGGGGGGGGCAGTTGGGGGCAAGCAGGCCATCAGTGGGGATCAGTTGGAGGTGATCAGGACAGCGGGGGGGGGGCAGTTTGGAGTGAGCAGGCCAGCAGGGGGACAGTTGGGGATGAGCAGGCCAGTGGGGATGGAAGGTAGGGGCGAGCAGGCCAGCAGGGGGGGCAGTTTGGGGTGATCAGGCTGGCGGGGGGGGCATTTGGGAGCAAGCAGGCCAGCAGTGGGGGGGAGGGCAGTTGGGGCGAACAGGCCAGCAGGCAGAGTGGTTAGAGGCAATCAGGCAGGCAGGCAGGCAGGTGAGCGGTTAGGAGCCAGCAGTCCCGGATTACGAGAGGGATGTCCGACTACTGGTTTAGGCCCAATCCCTGTAAACTGGCAGGACATTTTTCGAGGGGTCCCAAATTGGAGAGGATGCAGGCCAGGCTGAGGAACACACCCTCCCCCGTGCACGAATTTTGTGCACTGGGCCTCTAGCATATATATATAAAAGCCTAAGTGACCATTAGGCTGAACAACTGGTTGACCAATCACTATGACACACAGTGACCACCAGGGACAGATGCTCAATGCAGGAGCTGCCCCCTGGTGGTCAGTGGTCTCCCTCAGCAAGTGTACCCCTCAGCTGACCGACCCATTTTGGGAACTCACTAGCCGGGCAGCAGCCACTCACTCCCTCAGTAGTCCTACAGGTCCAATCTCCAGAGAACTGGTCTGGCATGGCCGGACCGGCACCTCTGGCACAATCCCAACAGTGCCACCAGCCTCTTGGAAGTCGGCCTTGGGCATTGCAGCCGCTTCCTCTCTAGACGCTCCACAAGGAAGAAATTATATAAAAGTGCCTGCCAGGTGGCTCCTGACAACTGGCATGAATGTCAGCGGGCAGATGTGGATCCGTGGATCCTGGGCCAGCAAGGGCAACCCAACAGCCAGCCCTGAGGGCCTATTAAGTCCCGGCCCCTTCCCCATCCCCCTTGGGATGGGCGCCACCAGACGCAGGTCTCACAGCTGGTGATGGTGCATGCAGTGCAAGCCTCTCCTGATCAGGAGAGACTGGGCGCAAGCCTGGGGTAGGCACAGTGGGGCCCGGATGAGTGCGAGCAGCAGGCAGGAGCAGAAGGCGGTGTTGGACTGCAGGTTTTGGCCGATCCCTGCAGGCTACCCAGAAGGACCCCACCCAAGCACGAATTCATGCACCGGGCCTCTAGTTATAAATATATAACCCCTTATATTGTAGGGATCAGTTGAAAATTCATGCTCAGTTCTGCCTCAAGAGAGATTGCAAATGCAACTACTTACTTGACGGAGAATGTTTCAGGCTATGTAAGATGATCTGTGCCTTCGTTGCTGCTCTTACCATGAAATTCAATGTCCCCCTACCTCGTGACCCAACTATCACTCCCCCTCCATTCTCAACCCAATTTCACTCCCACATTCACAATTTGCATTGACATTGGCTTTGGTGTAATATAGAACACATGAATTCCAGTGCTGGCCCTGGCCCTTAAGTCATTCTGTTATTAAGCCTCAGTTTCCTCATCTGCAAAATGACAGCCTTACCTACTTTGAAGGTTTTGGGATAGAATTAATGAGCAATGGATGTAAAGCATCTAACTCACTATACCTAATCTAAAAGTATCCCTAAATAAATAAATGGTGACTGTTATCTGTCACATATCTCTGTATCACCTGGCACTGGGGAGGTCATGCAACACGCACTCAGTAAATATATTTTAGATTGGATTAGAGAGAAATGTTGTCAAAGGTTGGAAGGATAAAACGTGAGAAATCACATACAAAACTGGATCTGTGACCAATAACTTACTCTTTAGGTTCCTTTCTCTCCTTTAAAGTTTTTTACTTGTCTTATAAAGAGGGGCATGAGTTGGTGCAGGAAACCCAAGGTAGTGGGCAAATTAAGCACATATTTATTTCTAGGAATCTCAGGAGTTTTTTCCCATCTGGGGAGAGGGACTGTAGCTGAGGAAAATAGGTGTCATGTGGAGTTAAGAACACTCACTTTCATTGTTTCTGTTCTTCTTCTTCAAACAAGTGGCAGTGTAAATATGTCATTGTGCTTAACATCTTACCTCCTAGGATCAGGGATAAATTTCTTTATAGGCCCTGAGAATCTCAAGGTCTCTGTTGGGAGAGGGCTGCCTCATATTACATTACGCAAAGTTGATGGAGAGAATGAGGTTTCTTTTTTTAAAGTTCAAGAGCAGGCTTGCCCTGGTTGGTGTTGCTCAGTCGGTTGAGCATCATGCCACGCCACCAGGAGGTTGCAGGTTCTATTCACTTGTCAGGGCATATGCCCTGGTTGCAAGCTTGATCCCCAGTAGGGGACGTGTAGGAGGCAGCCAATCAATGTTCCACTCTCACATCAATGTTTCTCTCTTTCTCCCTCTTCCTTCCCCCCTCTCTAAAAATCAATAAAAAATATTTTAAAAAAGAGAACAGGTTTTTTTGTGAGGTGGTGCTTCAACATATATCAGTATTTGTACATTTAAAACTATGTTTATACATAACAATATGTATACTTTTAAAATTTGCTAAGAGGGTAGGTCTTATATTAAGTATTCTTATTACACACAAAAATAATCAATGCAATTCACTGAACTAACAGAATAAAGGAGAAACCAAGTGATCATTTCAACTGGGGGTGAAGGGAGAGAAAGAGAAAGAAACTGTGATCTCTACTCTCCACTTGAAGAAATGTGATCCTGCAGTTTCTTGCGCCATGTGTAATCCAGTAGGGAGGAAATTGGCTTAAAGCCATTATTCCAAAATTCTAGACTAGACTGTTTTCTTATGTTGTATCCATCAAAAGAAATGACCAAATAATGCCCTAGCCAGTTTGGCTCAGTGGATAGAGTGTCGGCCTGTGGACTGAAGGGTCCTGAGTTCAATTCCGGTCAAGGGCACATGCTCAGGTTGCTGGTTTGATCCAGTCGATCAATGATTCTCTCTTGTCATTGATGTTTCAGTCTCTCTCTCCCTTTCCCTTCCTCTCTGAAATCAATTTTAAAAAATTAAAAAAGAAATGTCCCAACAAATAAATTTGAAATAAAGATTTCAGTTGCTTAATTTATCAGGGACTCTTTCTGAATGTGTGTCTATGTGTTTGTTAGTAGGTATTCTCTGAGTGATATATGACAAGGCATGTTTTAAATATACTCTGAGTTTCTAATATATGTACTTTTTTAGAGGATGGAAGAAGAGCAGCAATGGAAAAGTTCAAGGGTACCTCAGAAGAAAAAGGGAAAGAAGTTAGTGGAATGCCCCAGATGGAGACATGTCAAGTCCATGGCACCTTATCAGACTGACAGAAAAGCAAAAACCTCTTCTTCACGTGACCCAGATCAGAACAGATTCAAATGTGAATGCTACTACTGCCTGAGGTATGTGGGCACCACCTCTGGCATCTCCACTGGGAGCAAAGCAACAACCTCTCATTCTTCCTGTTGTGATAAGCTAATACAGGAACTCAACAACTTAAAGCTCAACTCTGAGAACACCCAACCCCCCGCTCTCTGACAAAAACAGAGAGCAGGAAAGGGTTGAGAAGAGACAAAAACAGAGCAAAAACGCAAAAGGATGTTTCAGAGGTTCTTACACGAATGGGCAGATTAAATCTAAGACTTTCACCTTCAGGCAAAGGAAGATCAAAAGAGATGGGGTCATGAGTGCCAACATTGCCAACCCCTCAGGGGGAATACTTTTGGGAACAGAGAAGGAATAACAGCATCCAGCCCATGCCAAACACTCTTATCAGCTGGCGAGTCAATCCAGCTCCAGAAACATAGCAATCTTTCCTTTAGGAATTTTAAGACCACATTGGGGCATGCTGGGAGCAATTCCTCCATGGCAAGAGCAACTAGATAGTAATGGTTCCATACTCTCCACAATACTCTTCCCTTGGTGCAAGACGTCATTTTTCCTTGTTGGATTTCGGCTTTTCTACCCTTACCTTGTCACCAATGAATTATAAAGCATATGCGTAGTATTTCTGGCTCGTTTTTTAAAAAATACTTTTCATTACATTTTGTTGATTGAATCCCAGAAGAAGCCCTAGGTCTGATGGGGTGTGTGTGTGTGTGTGTGTGTGTGTGTGTGTGTGCGTTCTGCTTTTTTTTTTTAATTTAAAAAAATCATTATAGCCTTAGCCGGTTTGGCTCACTGGATAGAGCGTCAGCCTGGGGACAGAAGAGTCCCGGGTTTGATTCCGGCCAAGGGCATGTACCTTGGTTGCAGGCACATTCCCAGTAGGGGATGTGCAGGAGGCAGCTGAGCGATGCTTCTCTCTCATCAATGTTTCTAACTCTCTATCGCTCTCCCTTCCTCTCTGTAAAAAATCAATAAAATATATATAAAAAAATCATTATAGATGCACGGGGAAGTTGCAAAGATACTGCAGGTAGGTCTTATGTACCCTTCACCCCATCTCTCTCAAGATATTTACTGTTCATATATCCCCCAAGGTAATTATATCTTGCATAACTGGCATACCATATCAAAATCAGGAAATTGGCATCGGCACAAAGCATGTGTATGATTCTATGTGATTTTGTCATATGTGTACCTTTGTGTAACCACCACTACAATCAAGAGGCAAAACTCTGTCCTAGCTGGTTTGGTTCAGTGGATAGAGCGTCGGCCTGCAGACTGAAGGGTCCCGGGTTCAATTCTGGTCAAGGGCACATGCCTGGGTTGCAGGCTTGGTCCCCAGTAGGGGGTGTGCAGGAGGCAGCCTATTGATGATTCTCACCATTGATGTTTTTATCTGTCTCTCCCTCTCCCTTCCTCTCTGAAATCAATAAAAATGTATTTTTTTTTAAAAGAGGCAAAACTCTATCATCACCACAAAAATCTTCCTGTGCCACTTCTTTGTAGTCACACCTACAGCCTTCCCTAGTACCATCCCTAAGCTTGGGCAACCACTAAACTGCTCTCCATCTTTATAACTGTTTTATTTTCAGATTGTTACATATAAAGGAATGCAAAAGAGGGGGAAGCAGGAGGCGGAGGTGGGTAAAAGGTGGGAAATGGGAGGAAGCCTGCAATAATGTCAACATTAAAAGTTTTTAATAAAAAACAGAATCATGCAGTATGTGACCTTTTGGGGTTAGATTTTTTTCACTCAGCATAGCTCTTGAGGTCCATATAAATTGTTGTATGTATCAAAAGTTCATTTTGTTTTATTGCTGAGTAGTATTTCATGATATGGATGTATCACAGTTTCTTTAGCCATATATATGTTGGTGAACATTTCAATTTCCAGATTTTAGCTATTACAAATAAAGCTGCTATGAACAGTGGTATACAAGTTTTTGTGTGGATATAAGTTTTCATTTATCTGGGATAAAGATTCAGGAGTATAATTGTTGGGTCATATGTCCAGTGTAGGTTTAGTTTTTTTAAAAAATATATTTTTATTGATTTCAGAGAGGAAGGGAGAGGGAGAGATAGAAACATCAATGATGAGAGGGAATCATTGATTGGCTGCCTTCTGCACATTGGACTGAGCCTGCAACCCAGGCCTGTGCCCTTGACCAGAATCGAACCTGGAACCCTTTTGCCTGCAGGCCGATGCTCTATTCATTGAGCCAAACCAGCTAGGGCTTAGTTGTTGGTGGTGGTGGGTTTTTTTTAAAGAAACTGCCCAACTAATTTCCAGAGTGACTTCCTATTCATGTACCCACCATCAGTGTATGAGACATTCAGTTTCTCTGAATCCTATCCTGCATTTGTTATTTTTATTAATTTTTTTAAATTTGGCTGTTATAATACTTGCATACCCATAAAGCAGCACTATGTTAATTTGCATTTCCCTAGATATTGAATATATTTTCATGTGTTTGTTAGCCACCCATATGTCCTCTTCTGTGAAATGTCTTTGTGTCTTTTTCCCATTTTCTAACGGATACAGTCGTATTTTCACTATTTGGAGAGTCCTTTATATATTCTAGATATGGGTCCGTTGTCAGATATGTGCTTTGCAAATGCTTTCTCACAGCCTGGACCTTGTCTTTTCATCCTCTCAACAGGGACTATATCATTTCATTTCTTTTGTGAATCGTGATTTTGTTGCCTTGTCTTACCATGTGACAGAGGACTGAGCCTAAATCCTAGCACCGTTATCTAAGGGTATCGCTAAACCACACACGGACCGAATGACCACAGGTATATCCAGAGAAACGTTTACTTACTGTGTGGAGATGTATGCGCAGTAACACAAGCAAAGAACTTAAGAAAACAGGGGTGAATGTATTTAATTTATGGAAGTGAGCAAATTCCTTGTATGCATGACACAAAACCAGAATCACAGTAGGAAGTGATTCGTCCAAGTATACGTGTAAACATGGTATTAACGTATGTTTCTGTCACGGCCACGTTTTTGAGACACATTCTCCATTAAGGTTACACTTGGCCTGTCTGTTCACAAAGTTTCTGAAAGCAAAAGAATGATTGGGGGTAGGGAAAAATCACACTTCGAGCCCGCTTTCCTGTCTACTGCTGATCTGGTGGTTTCGACGCTCTGCGGCCTTACCAGGAAAACCTCAACTCCAATCTCAGGAGCCCAAGTCAGAGCGCATGCCCCTAGCTGCACATGCTCATACCTGCGCATGCGCATTTCAGACCATGCACATTGCCGCACGCGCCCATAGCTGCGCATGCGCTCTTCAGACCATGCCCATTGCTGCGCAACACTAAGCCCATTGTTGCGTATGCGCCTTGGTGTCCGAGTTCTGAGAGGAGAACTGCGTGAGAAGCGACCAAGAGGCAACCGAGAGGCGTCCGTGTTCCTGCCATTTTGATTCTTTCTCGCTGGTTGACATCATCTGGTAGGTGCACAGAGCAGCCCTCCGGGACTTTGACTGTGGGAGAGTGTGAGGGGAAGGCCCGCGGGCTACGGTGGGGTGGGGCTGCGGGTTCCGTGGCCTCCTAGGAGGAAGGGCCTCGAGGTCGGCGCCTTTCTCCTCTCAGCCATCATGGCGGCCGTGGGCCTCGAAGCCCTGGCGTGACCCGGACTAGGAGGGTGCTGGGCCTGCGAGGGCAGGGGCCAGGTAAAGGGTTTGGGGGACATTATTCCAGGTGTCTGGGTCCTGGAATTCACCTGGAATGGCCCACAGAACAGAACCCACAGCCCTCCGCGGGGCCCTGGGCGAGTGGGGGGGGGGGGGCGGTCAAGGAAGGGCCTAGGAACGGGGTGCTGCGGGACTGCCCTGCGAGGCCCTGGGCCTGCGCCCCGAGATGTGTAGGCACCAAGCAGGGGCCGCGGGAGCAGCGGGCACAGCCCCGTGTATCGCTTGTAGTCACCGCTGCCTCCCGGTCATGCGGGGGGGGGGGCGGGGGGGGGGGGGGGGCGGGCGGTCAAGGAAGGGCCTGGGAACGGGGTGCTGAGGGACTGCCCTGCGAGGCCCTGGGCCTGCGCCCCGAGATGTGTAGGCACCAAGCAGGGGCCGCGGGAGCAGCGGGCAGAGCCCCGTGTATCGCTTGTAGTCACCGCTGCCTCCTGGTCATGCGGGGGGGCGGGGGGCGGGGGGGGGGACGGAGGGCGGGGGGAGGGGCGGGCGGTCAAGGAAGGGCCTGGGAACGGGGTGCTGCGGGACTGCCCTGCGAGGCCCTGGGCCTGCGCCCCGAGATGTGTAGGCACCAAGCAGGGGCCGCGGGAGCAGCAGGCAGAGCCCCGTGTATCGCTTGTAGTCACCGCTGCCTCCTGGTCATGCGAAGGCAGCACAGGCCGCACGCGCAGCCCGAGCCTTCCCGGCTGATGCAGCTGAACTTACGGGGGAAGGGGCCTCCTCGCTGGGCGTGTGGCAGGAGCAGTAGTCACTCCAGCGGGCTTTCAAGCAGCATTTTCCCACGTGTCTCCGTAAACGGGAAGCCGGGTGTCGTCTTTCTCACCTGCCCGAGGTGATAACGCCGCCAGCATGGCCACGACATAGTGGCTTGGCCAGCCCCTGTATTTGGTATAACCGCAAAGCCTGTGCACTTTCACTTACTTACGCTGGGTCTTCCTTTTTAAAGTGTTTTCAAACTTAAACTAAACTGTAAGTTTTAAAAATAATAATTTTTGGCTCTTTAATTTTTTCCGTTCATCTATAAGGTATCCCAAAAACTGTAGGCAGACTTTAACAGCTAATAGCTGTTAAATGTAAATGACATGTAGTTTAATAAACACTGCCTTTGTAGTTGATCAAAGTGTGTGTATACATTTGTGGGTACACCCTGTATATATCTGTTTCTGTGCAAGCCCATGCTGTTTAGATTGCTGTGGCTTTGCAGTATGATATCAGACAGGATGATGCCTCCAATTTTATTCTTAAAATTGCTGTGGCTATTCGGAGTCTGTTGTGGTTCCATATAATTCTGTGAAATATTTGTTCTAGAAATGCACCATTGGTATTCTAATAGATTGCTTTGGGTAGTATGGACATTTTAATGATGTTAATTCTTCCTACCCAGGAACATGGTTTCATTTACATGTGGAATCTAATGAACGTGAACAAACAAATAAAATAGAAACAGACTCAGACACAGAAAGCAGACTGACAGCTGTTAGAGGGGAGGGTGTA